ATGAGGCTGAAGAATAGTGAAGGAAAAGTAACTGATTTAACTGTTGAGATTATAAATGGTTAAAGATCTGAAAAGGCATTATTTGCTTTAATATTTTGAATATATGTTTAGGAAGGCATTCTCTAGTGTTAGTAACTTGAAGAAATAATGGAAAACCTATTTCAGATGTGTTTGAAAAGTGAGAAATATTGTACTGATGTTTTGGAATTTTGCTTCCTAAAGGCCTAGAGAAAATATTTTGAGTATCATAATATTGAAAGGTTAATAACTTCTTACAAAATCTGAATTTCATGTTCCCTTTTCCCTTAAAACAAATGATTATCAAATATAAGCACGTATTCAACCGATCTATTGATATTTTGGTGGCAATACTTATAAGTGAGCATTAAAATAATTATGCAAAGATTATACAAATTATAGAGATTATATAAATGCATATTATGATTATTATTTCTATGATATTTAATCTTCTAATGATAAATATGAAAGAATGACTGATGAGTATGAAATTGAATTGATAACGTTTGGGTCGTTGAATGAAGACAATTGTTAATTTTTGTGAGCCTCCTTAATAGCTTATTTTCTTAACTGTGTTGATGACATAAACTTGAATCATTTTGATCTTTTGCATACACTATTAAGAAGAGCATGAATAAAAATGATTTCTCTACAGTTCTTCCACTTAAACTTAAAAAGAAAAATTAGCATCACCACGAAGGCCCTCTCTCTAAGTGGCCTTTGCTTCATCTTTGCCAGGGAAAAGAAAGTTAAGTTAAAGAAGAGCTATTTGCTTGTCATTGCCTGGGACAAAAAGAAGAAAGAATCAGTGAATCAGTCTTTCCTTTCTGTTACTACCTTCATGGTCTTAGGGGCCCAAACCACTGCCACTGCCACCTCTAGCCTGATGGAAAGCTATGGGATGGGCACCCATTTGAAAGAAAAAAATCCTTCAGTCCTAAGTATAAAGTCCTATTGCTTACAGATGGTTCCCCCTTGATTTCTGAGTCAAACTGTGTCTGAAGTCAAATTAATTGAAAGGAAAAACGTTATATCCAGATACTTGTTAACTTTGTGTATTTCTAGCTAAGCTACTAGGAGGTGAGCTGTTATTAGTTCTTGCACACAGAAAAAGGAGATGAAGCATTTTGACAGTTTTTGCAAGTTCGTAATGAATGTGGACAGGCTGGTACTCAGAAATCCCTTATTTCCAACTGCAGGCTTATTTAGAATATGAGGAATGTGATGCTTTGAGTACAGTTGTAGCATTTAAAGTGTTTGTTATTGTTATTAAATATTAATTTTTCAGTACTGGAAATTGCTTCCATCTCCTTTATTTCTAAGGCATTTTTTTTAAAAAAAAAACAAACTTCCATATTTTTTTTACTTTCATTTTTTTATTTTTAGGCAATTGGGATTAAGTGACTTGCCCAGGGTCACACAGCTAGTAAGTGTCAAGTGTTTGGTCTGAGGCTGGATTTGAACTCAAGTCCTCCTGACTTCTGGGCCGGCTCTATCCATTGCGCCACCTAGCTGCCCCTAACTTCCCATATTTTAGCAGCATTTGCTTTTGGGCACAGATAGATGGCACAATGGAGACAGCATGCAGATCGGCATCAGGAAGACCTGAGTTCAAAGCCAGCCTAAGACACTTGTCAATTAACCTCTTTGCCTTAGTTTCCTCAACTTTAAAATGGGGTAATAACAGTATTTAACAGTTGTTGTAAGTGCTGTATAAATGTTAGCTATTATTATTATTGTTGAAGTTTGGGTTTGTGTCCTTAATGTATTTTATTTTTTTTTTATTCTTCTTTTCAAGTTTGGGTTTCATGGATCATTTCTCAGTATGTAAAATCTTAAGTTAATGTGATTTGTATGAATTCTACCCTCCCTACAATTACATGAATCTTTAATTTTTGCTGCTTTCTGAATGTAAACTAATTCTTTTCCTAGGATTGAAGTGGACGATAGAACTGAAGCCTATCTTCGAGTCTTACAACAAAAGGTTACATCAGATACACAGATTGTAAGTAGCTAATTTAGGTACAGTCATTTTCTGATTGAAGTTCTATTTAAAAGTTTAAGATCTAGCTATTTAGAACTTGGAATGCATTTTTCCCCCAGAAAAGTGCTTTGTAATTGGGGATGAGGTGCCCAGGCTAGCTTGGAAAAGCCTATTTAACTTGGTACTATCCTGTGTTTTTGAAGGGCTAAGACCAAAGTACTCCATACACTATGCTAATATTTATCTGGAATGCCTTTGCTCATGCCAGTCCCTTTTCTTTGTCTCATACTTCACCTTCACTCCATCTTTTTTAATTCTCCCATTCAAAGTTTAATACAAGTCTTAACTCCTTCATAAACATGTCATCAAACTTCTCTTAACTCCACATATCAATATACTTAGCTCTTTGCCTATTCTCAGTTCAACTGTATTTACAATACATACCCCCTCCACTTAGCACTCATTTATCAGTTTGTTTCCTATATATTAGTCTTATCTCTCAACTAGATTATTACCTCCCCACCTTCCAAGGATTAGTACATTATATATAGTGTTCTACAGTGAGAATCAAGAGTTGGAAGGAACTTTAGAGGGGGTCCCTATTATAAGCTCCTTTGATCGCATGATCTTTTGGCATCCTTAGTGCCTTAAAAGTAGAAAGCACCTAAATTACTTCAAGAGTGTACTGAATCTAGCACATTGTTCAGTTGTGGAGGTTACTTCCAGATCTAAATCCATAACTTATAATTTTTTTCTGCTAGTTTTATAATACATATGCTACTGACTTGTTCATTTACTTTTATTACTTTAACTTACTGATTCCCGAGGAAATTATATAAGCACTATATCAATGCTTACAAGTGCCATTTGACCAATGGGCAAGTGTAGTATGTTGGGAAGATTCAAATAGCCGTTAGATAGAAATGAACTTTGGGCTGGGGCATAAAGGAATAGGGATTATTTTCTTTCTAGGCCCTTTATTCCCATAATTAAATGCCACCCTCAGGCTACTGTTGCTATGTGTAGCCGAATTGCGAAGGGGTAGTTTGTTTTTAAAAAAGGAGTAATGTTGGAAACATTTTTACCAATCTGCCAAAGGAAACTAAACAAATATTTACTAGTAGCTGTTATGAGCTTAGTAGTAGTAGTAGAGAAAAAAGGTTAAGAAATAGGTCCCTATTTGTAGAACGCTCACAATTGAGTGGTGCAGGGGAGATATGATAGAAATAACTATGATAAGAAACTATATAAGCATGAGAAGAGGAATAAAAAACATGGTAAGTGAGGATCATTACTGGGGCACGTTTGGGGGGGGACATGCAAATGGTCTATGGAGAGGCTACATATGACCTGTGTCTTAGCAGGTAGGATGTTAAAATGAAGTGGAAGAAAAGTGTATTTATTGCCAACTATGAGGAACAGTGTGATTAAAAGGAGGCAGGACCAGCTAGAGATCCACTTGCCTAGCTGGAGTATAGGGTATGTGGGTGGGGAATCAAATTTATCTTACTCTAGATTGTCTTTATTGTGTTAAATAAATATCACTTACCCTTCCTTTGTGATTGCTTGAGAACTGTTTTTCTCCTCCAACTGATTTTATATTCTGCATATGGCCTCCTCTCCCCCGCCCCCAACCACCTCCCACCTTAATAAGTTTTTATTGGGGCAGCTAGGTGGCACAGTGGATCTGGAGGCAGGAAAACTAATTTTCCTGAATTCAAATCTGGCCTCAGACACTTACTAGCTGTGTGACCCCAGGCAAGTCACTTGACCCAGTTTGCCTCAGTTTCCTCATGTGTAAAATTATCTGGAGACAGAAATGGCAAACCACTCTGGTATTTTTGACAAGGAACCCCAAATGGGGTCACAAAGAGTCAGACCTGTCTAAAAGATGACTGAACAACAACAAAGTTTATTGATATTATTTTAAAATACCACCATAATTTCCTAAAGTATTCTCCCTCCCAGAAAGCCATTCCACATAGACAGTATTTTAAATGTCTTAAAAACATGTGCAATATACTACACTTGTGAACCTTTCATTGCTGCAAATTCACGGGGGAAGTAGGGAGTGGGAAAGGTGGGGTGGTAGTATTTTCTCTTTCAGGCCGTTTTGTAGTAGTCAAGAAATAGTTACCTCATCTATTTCAAAAGTTTGTCTAGTGAAGTTAAGTTGAAATTCTTATAATTTTGGTTGTTTTTCTGTGTTTTTCCCCCTAAGGTAGTTTGTCTGTTGTCTAGTAATCGGAAAGACAAGTATGATGCAATAAAAAAATACTTATGTACAGACTGTCCTACTCCAAGTCAATGTGTGATAGCAAGAACCTTAGGCAAGCAACAAACTGTAATGGCCATTGCTACAAAGATTGCCCTGCAGATGAATTGCAAGATGGGAGGAGAACTTTGGAGGGTTGATATGCCTGTAAGTTTGATTTTATTGTACTCTTGTTTTTGATGTATTTAATTTGTCTGGGTCTAACAATAGTTACATAGAGATCTAAAATTTTGGTTTTAAGCCACTTAAGTATGGTGATTAGAATGGCAGTTAATTTAGAGCAGAAATCCAAATTAAGTAAAAAAAAACAAAGGACTTGGGTAAAACTTCTCTATTGCATCTGCCAGTTTAACAGTCAATTTTAATTATTCATATAAACACAGAAATGGCTAAATATGAAAGGAAAAAATTAAATTAGTACTTAAAATTAACTAGTAATACTTGTAGTATTCTTAATACTACATCTCCTTGATTTTGTTAAAAATATTTTTGTTGGTATATTTTGGGTTTTATATCACATTTCCCAATAGTCCTCTACCCCCATATCTCTTTAGGGCCAAGATTGGTCATTATTAATTTTTTATCATTTGGTTTTGCATCTTCTTGATTTAAATTGTTATACTTGTAACTTACATGACTGAATTTGTCTTTTTTTTCCCCTTAAGCTAAAGCTAGCAATGATTGTTGGTATTGATTGTTACCACGACACTACAGCTGGGCGACGATCAATTGCAGGATTTGTTGCTAGTATTAATGAAGGAATGACACGGTAAGGAAGGTTTGCTGTAGAATAGTTTGAGTGCATTTTACAGCTGTGACAGAAATGCAGAGACCAAACAACTCAGGAAGAAGGGAAGATGAGTTGATGGGTAGTATTCTTTTCTGTGGCTAATGTCCCTCTAATCCTTTGGCTACTTAGTTTTCCTTGGACACTGTCAGTGGAAGGCAAGTGAACTGTCCCACACTGAAATCATCTCTAAAGGAACTGGAGAGAGCTATTGCACTTTAAAAGTTGAGGAGAAGCAAGAAGTGTCTCTGGTTTATAGAATGATACAAAAGACTTGGTGGCTAGGGTCTAGATAGAAGAGCTGGGAGTTGTGTAGAGAGAGCTATTTTTCTTTTGGAAAGGGCAGAAACTAATATTTGTCTGATGGCCAAAAATTATTTTTTTTAAAAATACATTTTATTCATATTTTGTTTTTATATCGCCTCTTTCCCACTGTACCTTTCACCTTTCCCCCATTCTACAGAGCCATCTCTTATAATAAAGAATAATAAAAGAAAGAAAAAAGTTCCACACACACAAAAACAACCTATCAAAGAACTCTTAAATGCAATAGGAGCAGAATAAGGTGTCTCATATTTCTTTGAGGCCAAGCTTAATAATTTATAATTCCACAGCATTTAGTTTGTTTTGTTGTTCCTTACATTTAGACTGTTGTAGTCACTGGGTATATTGTTTTCCTAATTCTGCTCGCTTCACTTAGTGTAAGTTCTCCTATCTCTTTGTATTTCTCTGTATTCATCATTTCTTGCAGCACAGTAATATTCCATATTCCATTACATTTATGTATCCTAGTTTGTTTAGCCCTTCCCCTATTTACTTTTTAACTCTGGAATCTCTGGGGCAAAGTATTTTAATTTTAGTCACTTTCTTTGCATAATTGCAGATTACTTTCCAGAATGGTTATACCATTTCAGAGTTATACCTAAAATGCATTAATGTGCCCATCTTTTCAGAACTACTCCAATATTGACTATCTCCTATTGTTTTGCTTTGCCTTTCTTTAAACAGTTGGCAGTACTACTTTTGAGAATTGTGTGTTCATATCCTTGGCCAAAGCTTATTTGTAAGATTTAATAATAGAACATAGACTACTTCTGAGATTTTTGTGTGTGTGTGTGTGTGGGGGGGATTATTTCTGTATGAGGCTACACAGCCATTTCCAATAACTGATACTGACTGACTACCTTTAACTTATTTGGTAAAGCCTTCCCTTTGATTAAAAAAGTGTTTCCTTCCTTACCACTGAATAACACATTTCATATAGAGGTGATGTGTAAAGAAAGCTATATTTGGAATCGGAGGATGTTTGTTAAAATTTTAGCTTCTGACATTGTGGGACTTTGGACAAATCAATCTGAGTCCCATGTTCCTAATCTGGAAACTGAGTGCATTGAAATAAAAAAAAAAAAGAGATGAGCATTACAGTTCTAAATCTTATCTTTCTTCAACTTAAAGACAGATTATATTCCAAAATTTGTTTATAAATTGTTTGAAACTCTACTTTTCCTGTAAAATAAACTTCATTGCCCAATTTTTTAAGCGCTTAATATTGTTTTTAATATGTTGTAAACTCCATTAGGTCAGGGACTGTGTCTTAATCTCTTTAGTTCTCCTAGCACAAAGCTACTAAATGTTTAGTAGTGAAGTTCTTTCTGCCCCAAAATGAGCTAAATTAGATAAGATTATGTATTTATTATTAAGTACATAATGCAAAGTAATGGGAAATGCTCTGTCAGGGTAGAAATACGGAAAGACTACAACCGATTGGGGAGACAGGGAAAACTTCATGAAAGAGGTAGTATTTGAGTCTTATGAGAATTTTCACAGGTAGCAATGACGTGCAAAGCATAACAGCATAAACAAAGGCTTGTCCATTTGACAGAGTGGGATTTTCATGGGTGGGTGAGGGGATAAATAATGTTCTAAGTGAGCTGGAATATAGCACACTTAAGGGGAATGTATGTAAGAGCTGGAAAAGGAGGGATTGTGGAATGAACTGGAACCTTATTATCTAGGGAATTAGATTGAAGGATTTTGAGTAGAAAAATGACATGATTTAGAGCAGTGTGTTCAGAAGATTAATTTGATCAACAGTATGATGGATGGGTTATTGGGGGTGTGAAGAAGCCATATAATAATGGGAACCTTAATGGGATGGTGGCTGGGGGAATATAAAAGTAGTGATTCTGAGAGAGATTGGGATTCATGAGTTGCAAAATGTTCATTAGGTCCCCAGGATAGCCCCAAACCACCAATTCAACTACCTTGATCAAACTACATATTCTGTTTAAACTAGCATTTATTGACTACTTTGGAATGTCATCCTTTATAAAGCCTTTATTTGGAGGAAGTAATAATTTGCCAGTTACCTCAGAAGGAAAGGTTTAAGTACATAAAATCACTGTCCTAAGGGTTAGGAAGATTTTGCAAATAGATAAAGCACATGTAGCCTATTAATTATTCTGTTGCTTTATTATGTGCAGTGTTGATTTGAGACTTTCACTGATCTCCAACATAAAACATGAATGAAAAAAAATTTGTCTTCTTGGGAGCTAGGGCCTCTAGATTCTTGCCAAATCTAGCCTCCTTTGATGAATGTGTATGTTTTAGTATCTAATGTGTTCTACTTCATTTTTACTTCTTAAAATCCCTAGCCTCTGTTGAAGTTCAGTTCAGGTGCTATGTCTTAAACCACTTTTCCTAATTCTCTCTGCTCTTTTGTCCCCCGGATAGATCCAGGCATTAGTGCTCTCTCCCTCCAGAAATTACTTTTGATTTACCCATCTGTTTACATGTTATTTTTCTCCCCATAGAATTGAAGCTTGAGGACAGGGATTGTTTCATTTTTCCATTTCCCAAGCACATAGCATGGTGCCCTTTATATGTTAAACTTTATGAATAAACTTGTTCAATCATATAGTGAATGTGTACTTCAAGTGGATCTATGATATTGTGTAGATGGCTTCCTCCACTAATACAGATTACAGACCATTCTGTGACTCTTTTCAACGTTCTTCTATTGTATGTTAGCCACAAGAGATCCATCCAATAGGCAGAGCCCATCATTTAGATTTCATGACATTGTAAGAATGATGTCTGGCCCATCTTTTCCACCAGCAGTATATTTCTGACATCTTTACCCCACATGGCCTATATAGTCCTCATTTATGATGTTTCTTGTTCATACCCAGTGATGATGTGACTCATGACAGTGGCACTTTGGGTAGTCAACTTTTTTGAGGAAGATTATAAAATTCTATCATACATGGCTTCATAACACCATTAGCAGAATACTGATTTTAAAAAACACGGGCTTCTCTTCCATAGAGAAGCTTGGGGTCATTAAAAGAACCAGTTTACTAAGGACAATCTATTCTACTCTACTTCTTTTTGGTTATGGGCCCAGCGCACTGTCCATTTTCAGTGGTTCACCAAGATTCTATGTATACATGTGTATGTGTATATATATGTATATATGTGTGTGTGTGTGCGCGTACATATATATATACACATACACACACATATATATGTATATATGAGCCCTATGATGTAGAGATTGATGACAGTTTGCCAGATTTTTGTATTAGGAGGGATTACGTATGTTCAGCACTGATAAACTTATGTAGGTATTACAGTAGAAATGCAATGATATATGTTATATTTTTGGTTCTAAGCTTTTTATGTTTTTATGTACAGTTTTAAGACATTAATAGTTTCTGTTTTTCTCTGAAAAGCTGGTTTTCTCGCTGTGTCTTTCAAGATAGAGGGCAGGAACTAGTAGATGGACTCAAGGTCTGCTTACAAGGTAAGGATATGATTAGCATCTTACTTTGGTCTTAAAGGAAGCCATATTTAAAAGTAACATCATTGTAAAATACTGAGCGAGAATTTGTCAGAAATGGAAGCTACTGTTCAGGTTTTTGTTCTTTTAAAAACTTTGTTGATTTTCTTTCAGCTGCATTGAGGGCCTGGAATAGTTACAATGAATATATGCCTAGTCGAATTGTTGTATATCGGGATGGTGTAGGTGATGGCCAACTGAAAACCTTGGTTAATTATGAAGTACCACAGTTTTTGGACTGCCTAAAATCTGTTGGTAAAGGTTACAAGTAAGCACATACAATATAAAATGACTTTGTATGTTATTCTCATGATCTTCTAAAACTGTTATAAAACTTTATTGTGACTGTAGGTGAAAAGTATGTTAAGCATGGTTTAAAAATGCATAATCGGACTTGAATTGATGGTAGGAAGTAAAGCACATCTATTTCCCCCTTTCTCATTTTATCTTCTCAACAAAGCAGAGTAGGAATGATAGAGTAAAATTAAAATCCTTTCAAGGAACAACTAAACGTTTACTTTATATCTCATGCTACATTGTTCAGGAAACTTTTTGGTTATAGCTGCTGCCTTGAAAGAATGCAGGAAACCAGGAAAGGTACTATCAACATTCCTATTCTCTCTTTGGAATTCTACATGTTTTTCTCCCCTTGAACTTATTATCTATGCCAGTGATTTAGTTACTAATTAGATACTTCTAACTAAATTTTTATGATTAATAACCTCAGTATTTCTTTTCTTTTTGTCCCTTTTTACTCACCATACCTAAATGATAAGCTCCCTGAATGCAGAGACTGAGCCTCATACTTTTTCTTTAAGTGTCTAGCCACTAACCTATGCATAATAAAAATTTTTATATGGTTCCTTGGGGTATCTTGGTTGAAAATTCCAGAAAAAGTTTGTACAAGGATTTTCTCCCTAAGCAAAATTGACAATTTCTATTTTACATTTAAAAGGAAAAGTAAGTAAATTGCTATATGGGCTAGACATTACTTTTGTTTTATTCAACCTTTAGAGTTGATCTAATAGTTGAAAAGTATACCACAGTCCTAAAACTATATGGTACTAGATCATTTTTTCCTCTGTAAAATAAAATATGATACTTGCTTTCCACATTAGGACATTAAGTTTTTTATTCTGTTGAAAATGGGGGAAAAAGACATTTTAAGTCTATGACCAACTAAACTATTAATTCCTTCTCATATTGACTGCTATTCCTCTCATACATACATACTCACACAGCATTGATAAAGTGGGGCTTTTGGTAAACAGCTTTTCTTTTTGCTGTTGATTCCATGTCTACGAGCTGATAGGAAAGCAATTTCTGTTTCTTTTTCCAGCTTTTTAATATTACATATTCTCATCTCCTCTTTTTAATGCATTGTCTAGGTTCTTTAGTAGTTTGAAGAGTAAAATCTTAGAAAAATAGAAAGGCAAGTATGTCATCTGATGGACCCTTTTTTTTCTCTGATCATACAAATTCTATTTTACCTGCTCGTTAACTGCTTGGGAAACCTGGAAGTATAGTACATATACTATACATATAGAACATATGCCAATGTCAGCAATATCGCCTGCCTTATTTCACTAGCTCTTTTAATGCTGTTAGTTCACCTAAGTAACTGGGATAATATGCTAGTTCCTTTGGCTCCAGGTCACACAGGAGAGAGTATCCTAAGTGTCAAAGTTAACATGCCTATTCAAAACAGAGGAAAATGGTACTGAGGATCAGAGAGTACCAAAGCTAAAGGACCTTCCTCTGAGGTCTTGGCACAAAAGCAAAATATTGCTCTAGGGAGAGAACTGATAGCATGTAGGACTGAAGGACCATGGAGTTGTCAATTGATGGCAAAAATAAAACAAAAAAACAATGAGAAATGCTCCCAACAATTGCTGTTCATTTCAGTTATGTTTTAATTTTTGTGACCCCATTTGGCAAGGATAGTGGAGGGGTTTGCCATTTCCTTCTCCAGCTCATTTGACAAATAAGAAAACTGAGACAAAACAGAGCTAAACGACTTGCCTAGGGTTACACAGCTAGTAAGTGTCTGAGGCTGGATTTGAATTCAGGTCTTCCTGACTTCATGCCCAGCACTCTGTTCAGTGTACACCTAGCTGCCCCTTAATGAGCAATGATTTCCATTGAAAAAATAGCCAAGTGTGGTTGAATTACTAGTTATTTTTTTTAATGACTCAAAATAATTTTTCATGACTACCATTTAAAGAAAATAATTAGTACATTTTTAAAAAAATGGATGAAATTTATCTCTTTTCCCCCTGTGATAAGGTATCAAATGGCCCCTTTTATTTCCTAAGCTTTTTGCTTTAGTTTGAATGAAGCCAGTAGCTACTTGTAGGAAACCGATACTATTTTGATGATTTTTTTTTTTACAGTTACTAAACAATAGACAGGGCATTGGATCTGGAGAAGGAAGACTTGGGTTCAAATCCTTCAAATCCCTACCCTTCTCTGGGCTTCAGTATCTTATTTATACAGAGGAATTAAACTTAATTAAATTGAGTCCCTATCAGCTTTAAAGTCTTAATTATAATCCAGCCCTTCTACTTGGTTTCTAAGGTTTTTACAAGTGTATCTAGGAAGGAAGTAACAATGGTAGCAGAAAAGCTCACTATTTCTTTAATTGGCTTTCAAGAAAGTTCTTTATTTCATTCAGTTGTATAGGAAATGCCTTTCTCTTGGTCTATCCATATGCATTATTATTGCTGTAGGGGCCTTGTTTAGGTTTCTGTCTGCAACAGTGGTTCTCAAGATTGGCCTTTATAACCACTTTGTGTAGGACAAAGAAACCTGTGAGGTATATGCTCTATTTACTTGCCACTGGGGGGAAAATCTCAAGGAAATATTGGGTATTTATTGTGCGTATAATAAAGTTCTGAGTGCAATGAGGATATAATAGTGTGAGAAGCATTCCTGTTTAAAGGTGCCTTCTGTCTAGGTGGAGAGTTAACACTCAAATTAAAAAAAAAAAACTGACCAGGTAAGTGTTAAATGAGCATTACATATTTATTTATACAGCAAGTGCTGTTCAGAGGTCAGAGGAGAGGAAAATTCTCTTCCATTTGAGGTTATTAGGAGAAAAGTTTCACAGACACAAATTTTGTATGCATTTGGACAAAGGACACACAATTTTACCAGAGCAGAGACTCTGTGTTGGAGGAGAGTAGCAGAAGACTGTGCTATACAAAGCTTAAAATAACATAAGGAGTACAGAATTTATCCTATAGGATGGTAATGAGCCACTGTATAGGATTTTGATCCGAGACCTCACCTACTACGTGCAAGGTACTACGCTAAGTTCTTCTATTTGGGACTTGGATCCAGAATAAATGAGGAATAGAACAAGATACTGGAGCTAGGAAATCAGATTTAGGTCCTAAATTTTAGAATACATAAAAAAAAATCTCCGCTTTTTATGACAATTCAATGACATTACTATTGTATACTTGGTTTCCAAAAGGAATAGTAAAACATGTCTCCAAATTATAAAATGTAATAAAAAGCTTACAGATTACACTCCTCACACATCCCACATTCCTGGGTATTTGGACACAATCTTATCAAAAGAATCATTAGGTATACTGGAATTAAGTTTATACTGTGTTTGAAGTACTTTTAAAAAGGAGATTTTAAATGTGTAATAGACATGCAATGATAATACTAGGGAAGGAAGAGCTTCTGAATGATACTGTCTATTCCACTGTTTTCTATGCTGCTATCCAATAATTTCTTCCTGGTGCTGCCACTTAATATTGTTTCTGGTAGAATTAATGCCTATAATACCATGCAGGAAATATGCCCTGCATAGCTTTCAACAAGTATAGGGTGTTTGATTTCATGGTCCTTTTAAAAAATAAGACAATATAGAAATGCTTTCAAAACTTTCAAGGGGTGATTTTGTGATACATGTCACTACATTTTTATTAATCCTTAAGCCCAAGACTAACAGTAATTGTGGTGAAGAAACGAGTGAATGCCAGATTTTTTGCACAGTCTGGAGGAAGACTTCAAAATCCACTTCCTGGGACAGTTATTGATGTGGAAGTTACCAGACCAGAATGGTAAGCTCTACACTGGGAATTCAATAAAACAGAAAGACTTCCTGGATGAAGTCATCTTAACACTATTATTGTACTTCTTTTCTGTAATCTCACTATATGTAGACTTAATAAATTCACTTTTGATTCCTTATATTTAACTTTATAGATTCCAAGGTCATCTTCAAGATTAATTTGTCCTGTTAAATTCAACATAGACCCAATTGTACATTGCTTTCATATGTTCCCCTCAACTCTACCGCCACCCCAAATAATTAATTTTCTTTTTCCTCTAAGACCCTTTCCAATTACATTTTTGTTATTTTTTCCTTATTAGTATTTCATTTTCCCCCGAATTACTTGTAAAGATAGTTTTCAACATTCATCATTGTAAAATTTTGAGTTTCAAATTTTTCTCCCTCCCGTCCTGCCTCCCCAAGACAGCAATCTGATATAGATTATACATGTAGAATCGTGATAAACATATTTCCATATTAGAGAACTAATTTTCTAACCCAAATTCTTAACACCCTACTTATTTAGTGGTCAGATTTCTTGGCGTTTCAGTCATCTGAAGCACAAGTTAGAGATTCAGAATAAAGCTGTTGGGGGGGGAGAACCTCTAGGCAATAAAGCCAAATATGTCCTTTTATCCAGAGCCATATTTTGTTCATCACCTAAACAGTTGTTTACAAAGTATGAAGTCGATTTAGAAATAGGACATTGATTACGACGGAGGAGAAAGCTGTATGTTCCTTGTACAAAAATGATAGAGCAATCTGTGGTCATTTAGTGTAAGAATAAAGCACTCATTCAGCAAACGTATATTAGGTGCCTATTTTGTGCTTAACTATTGTGCTAAGCTAGGATCAGGGAGTACAAAGAGTAAAAATTGAAGTCTTTGCCCTCACATTCTACTGGGAGGAAACTGTATGTCCATAGATAAGTAAGGCCTTTCCCACCATGGACGTAATCCATCATCAAATAACTTCAGGTTCAATTCAACAACCATTTATTTTATATCCTAAGCTCAATCCAGTCAATGAGTACAATAACCCGTAGCGTTCACACACAAGATAGATTCTACTAACCAATCCTAAACACTCAACAAAAGTTAAGGAGAAGAAGCTGTTAGGCAAGCAAGCTCTCCTGACCAAACCTGTAGCCAGGAGCCTTGAAGTCTGGCCAGATATGGACATCTACATCTACAATGTAGTTGATGGGAAATGAGCTTGAATTACAGTTTGATAAAACAATTTATGCTTATGCTGACCCAGAGTCATTAAGGGTTAATTAAATTTAACACGTATTTAACAAAAGGAAGTGTGTATGCAGTCTCGAAAGATGCTGCACTATAAATAAGTGAATTTTCCAAATAACTAAAGCTTAGGTCTTTAAGCACGAAAGTTTAAACTGATGTAACTTATTTCTGTATAGTCAACTATTACAATCCAAATCTAAAAACTGCTTTTGTGATTTAGTTGGTAACATTTTCACTCCCAATTTGTGTCTCAGGCAGATGTTAATTTTCAGGAGGGTGGTTCAAAATGGCTCTGGGTGATAAGGTGAGACTTGAAAATACTGCAGAGATAATTAATTTCTTCCTGTTAGTAGCCACACAGCCTTAATTTTTCACAAGTTGCATTTGTGCTTCATTGTTAAAACTGACAGACATTACAGAAAGTACCATTATCGTTTTCTAATAGTTAACATCAATAAATGTCTAAAATAGAGTAATTGAAGTGACATATGATAATAGTGTTTTGTTCTAAAGCTCCTCAACCAAGAGGGTAAAACAAAATATTTTTATTTACTGACTTTAAGCATCTCTTGTCAATTTTTCATCAAACTTTTTGTTCATTTAACACTTAGTTACTTGAAGGTATCAAATCAGTTAAAATATTGTAAATAGCACCTTGTAAAACTTTTAGTGTTATATTATGCTAAAATTACTATTATGAATTGCTTTGCCCGATATTTTTTCAGTTTTCACAATTTAGCAATATATCTGTGGGTCTTATAATTTGCAGGTATGACTTTTTTATTGTGAGCCAGGCTGTAAGAAGTGGCAGTGTTTCTCCTACACATTATAATGTAATCTATGACAACAGTGGCTTGAAACCAGACCATATACAACGATTAACTTACAAGCTCTGCCATGTGTATTATAATTGGCCAGTAAGTATTTTCCATATTGACATTTTTTTCAAATGGGTAACTACTGTTTTAAAAATTTCAGTCTACATTAGCTTGTATTCATTTAATATTGGCAGCATTTATAGGCTTATCTATAAATTTTATTTTAAATAACTTTGTTCTCCTCTCTTCTCCCCTAAAGGGTGTCATTAGAGTTCCAGCTCCTTGCCAGTATGCTCACAAACTGGCTTTCCTTGTTGGCCAAAGTATTCACAAAGAACCTAATCTGTCACTGTCAAATCGTCTTTATTACCTTTGAACTGTAGAAGAACACAGAAAGTAGTCTTGAAAGACTAGCTTCATAGATTTTTTTTTCCTTTTTGCAAGTGGAGCTTTCGAAAGTCTTCCTAGATACAGCATTTTTTTTCCCCTTTAACAACTGTAACATGGAAAGGGAGATAAGAAATGTGAGTTCTATTGCCAACTCTACTATTGACTTATTGTGTGACTATGCAAGTGACTCATTTTACAGATGGGGAAACTGAAGAACATTTATCTTTTTACCTCTCACAAGGATGCTATAGTGGTTTCGTGATACAATATGGATACAGCACTTCAAGCACCAAACAAAAAGGCTATTTGAAACACTGGGCATTACTCATGTTGGATTACTTCTGGAAACAAGTGATATAATTGTAAATTATATGTTTTTTTTAAAATTGACATTAGGAATGCCGATATTGTGGGGCAGTTTTATTTTGGTGTTTTTTTTAACACCTCCTTTATCTTAAAGATATGATTTGCCATTTAAAGATAAAAGCTATACAAAATGGGGAGAAGCTAGAAAGAGCAAACTCACATTTTAAAGTTGGAGGCTTCTAGTGATAGAAACAGTTTGGTGCCTTTCCACCAATGGAATAAATCACGAGCTATAATGGCATAATTCATGGTGTTTTTTTCCCATCATTCTACTTGTTGAAGATTTTGAAATGTGACATTCTATTACATTAGCTATATTATGTTCTGACAAGGTATTGTAAGCAGAAGAGAACATTACAAGTCTATTTAGTTGAATTCAAAACTTTTTTAATTGGAAAGTAATATTCATTACTTATTTTCTCTGAATTAAAGTTGAAATATTCTGCTCAGAAGTTGAGAGAATTCTCCATGCTCTAATTTTCTCTTACCACTTAAGGGATAAAATATATAAGAAAAACAAAATTAAGAGTGAGAACATCTACTCAAAAAGATATTGAAGTCTATTTTTTTTTTAATTCGCCCAAAGAAAAGTTAGAGGGAAGAAAAAGGCAACACAATTTTAACTTTAAATGTTATCAGGATGAAGTTAGATGTGTTTATCAATTTGAGAATTTCTTAAAGGGAGCAGACAAAAGAACAGTTAGGTGGCTACTCAATATCTGAAGAATTAGTGCATGTTGAAATTAACAACTGTTCTCTCAACTTCTGTAAATGCAATTTCAGCATTGTCATTCCACATGGACAGCAACATAAAGATAGCAAGAGACACTGTAAATTTAAAGTGATGTAGTTTGTTTTAAAATGTTACTATTATATTTGCATCTTTTGTGTTAGTTATACCTTCTGAACCTGTTGGAAAGTTTTATTTTAAAATTCTGAAAGCCAGTTTCAATCAGCAACACTTTTGGTGGGGGGGGGGGTGCGCTTGCTCATGTCTAATTTCCTTCCCTCAAGTATTTTGGACATTGGGGAAAAGAAGCAATAGTTTGTGAAACTCTAGAAGGAAAATTGATGTCCCAAAGCCCCAAGTGTAAACGATGCTCAAGTTTATCATAACATAAGAAGAGTACCAGGATGGAATAAATTGTCAGCTTTGTAAGCTCCACCAGGGCAGGAACTATGTCTTAATTATTTTTGTTTCTCCCTCAGCACCTGCACAGTGCTTTGAACATAGTAGGCACTTAATAAATGGTTGTTGAATTAATTTTGTCTGTTTAACTTTATCCATTTATACAAATGAGCTAATTCACTTGTGCAAGCACCAAAAACTCCATTCCTCTTAAAGCCCACCCAGGATTCTTGTAAAACTTGGTTTGTGGAAAGTTATTTTTAAAAGTTGGTTTAAAGGGGCAGCTAGGTGGCACAGTGGACAGAGCTCTGGCCTTGGAGTCAGGAGGACTTGAGTTCAAATCCGGTCTCAGACACTTGACACTTACTAGCTGTGTGACCCTGGGCAAGTCACTTAACCCTGATTGCCTCACCAAAAAGCAAAAAAAAAGTTGGTTTAAGTTCATCTTTGTGTATGCAATTTTGAGTTTTTCCAACTTACTGGAAAATAGTTGCCTGGACAAACTACGTGCAGCAAACGAAATTGTCACCGGCCAAAACTCTGGTTTTACCTGTTTACCTATTACTGTCTTGTTCAGGCATAGGCCAGCTGTTAAATCTGCCACTCATGGAACTTCACGTTTTCCTTTGTGTACAAAGTTTATACAAGTTTCACCTTGTTCATATGCAGCCGCTTGTTTATTTCATCTTAAAATATTGTAATAAAAACAATAGCTGAGATTTATATAGCACTTTCAGAGTTTTATATATGTTCTCTTAACCCTATGAGGGAGGTACTCTTCCCCACTTCACAGATGGGAAAACTGAGGCTAAAAGTCACTTAGCCTAAGGTCATGCATATAACTGAAGCAGAATTCAAACCCAGGTCCTTCTGACTCCCAAATTCACAATATCCATTCTGCCACTAGCTACTAGTATTCTGTATGTGTTGTTGTTAAGTGCATCAATTCATACAATATAGTACACAGAGAATGTGCTGAGTTTGGAATTGAAAGACCAGAGTTCCCACTATTGTCACTTGAATTAGCTGAGTGACCTTGGGAAAGTCACTTAGCCTCTCTTCCTCAGTTTCCCATCTATAAATTAGGAGATTAAACTTGGCTCTTAAAAATATCCCTTACAGCTTTAAATCTTTATTTTTCTGGCAACTGAGCCATTTTTGTGAATTTTTTTTAAAGTATAGATTGCTCTAGGGAAGATGCCATCAGATATTTTAGTTTTTATCTTTACTTAAGGTGTATGAACAGTGCTTTGATGTGCAGTTAGGTGGCAGTGGCTAGAGTACTGAACCCTGAGTCAGAAAGACCTGGGTTCAAAATTTGGCTTCACAGATACTTGCTGTGTAACTAAGCAAGTCACTTAACCTCTAGCTGCCTCAGTTTCCTTATTGGCAAAATGGCAATAATAACACCTACCTCATTGTGAGGATAAAACATGTAAAGTACTTTGCAAGCCTTAAATCATTATATTAATGCTATTAATCTTTAATCACATAAATTACCCCCCAAAGTGAAGTTTATGACTGTTTTATGTCCTTGAAGACTATATTTAAAGACACATGACGATATGAGTGAGGACTATAACTAATTGCTTTGATATTTGAGGCATTAGTGATTGTTTGTGGGGTATTCCCTGCACAAATACTGTACGCTGCAATACCCTTTATTTTGTCTTCATAAACTGCCTTGGAGTTACTATGAAAAATTAATCATTGTGGAGTCATCTTGGGGATGATCCTCTCCCAACACAGGATTAAAGTAGTAGCGTTTGACTTGCTATGATAAGGAATATCTAGGTTCAATTTGGTTCAAATTCTACTTCTGACAAGTTGTGTGACATAGGGCAGGCCCTTTGAAGGTTATTTTCTCAACAAAAAAATGGGGAAACTGTAGTACCTACACCTCATTGGGCAGTTCTGAGACTTCACAATACATACAAAGCACTTTTCAAATTATTAGGCTGGTTCTTGGATGCCAGTTAAGTCTGTTACTAGGGTTTTTTATTCAACCCCCTCACCTACCCTTCCTCCAACCCCTTTATTTCCCATTAATCTTGGTGGGGACATGTCTAAGTTCTGTGGTAGAATACCAAAGACTTTGCCTATGTTGGGATATGGCATCAGAGAACTTAAGTGAGGATTTTCCTTTTATGAAACATAGTGGGTATTCAATGAGTTAAATTTATTTCCATGGGTTATTTACAGAGCAGCTAAGTGTAAGAAAAGACCAGTATAAGAAAAATCTAAAGCTACCTCAATGAATAGAACAAAGTCAACAATTTACCTTGCACATACAGAGGGTATTTATTAAATGTGAAATACTACTTGTGTTTCTGTGCCCCTACTAATTTATTAAGGTAAACTCTAGTGAACAAATTATTCATAAAGTATAACCCCAATATAACATGGTTAGAGGTCTTTGCTTTCTACTCACTATAGGAAAACCTAAGGCTTGTATGTGCAGTTTTGTTAACAGTGTCTTCAGAAAAGGATCTCCAAACAAAGAATAAACTGCATATTATAAAATATTTTTTATTTAGATAAAATATACACATGCACACAAAACTATACTATTTTAACTAAACACTCTGGCCAGTAATTGAATTTTTTACATTTAGCACAATAATACTTTCATAAAAACTTACAGTAGAGTTCTCTGAAGACTCACTGGTAAAAGCTTTGATTATTTGTTTACTATTTTCATACAGTACAAAAAAATTACAAGTGGATGAGAATTACAGAAGAGTAACTGCCAAATAATCTGCTAGTAAAATGTATTACTTTTGTTTGGGGCAATGTTAAAAGCAGGATCAAAGAGCACTTTGTGTTTGAAGGTGCTCAAATGCCATATCTTAAGGAAGGTTATCTCTCTCTCTCTGTCCAGTGCAAATGCTTGGTTAGTCCCATACTGCCAACAACTACAGAACTCACGATGGCTATGGCCTTCTGGAAGTAATAGCATGGGGCTATTTTTCAGGAGTCCTGGGATGTAATAACTCTAATGCTCTGTGTTAGGATATATAAAAGAAACAACTTTGCTGACTCTTCTTCCCAGTCTGGAAAATAGAAAAATAGAATAAATAGGGAAATAAAGATTACTTCTGCTTGGATGCCAATGCTAAAAATGAGTAGAAGCATGTTAGATTCATAAATTTAGACTTTGTATTCTGTGCATAATGAAATTTTATTATGCTTATGCTACCAATCATTGGTTAATGATTAAATTACACTTAATGTAATCACATTGACATCAATAATGTTTTAAAACATGCAAGACTAGAGTTAAAGTGACAATTAAATATGTTGTGGCAAACATTCTGAAAATGAATTGCAAGTCATCCCGCTACCTAAAGACGAAATGTACAAAAGACCAGTTACAGGTAGGAAGCAAGCTCCATAAGTAGCTGTCAAACCTGTCCTTAAAATTTCCCAAAATCAGACTTCAGAAAATCAGAGTAGATAACTGGCAGCAATAACTTGGGGGGGATTTTTCTCTTTTCTAAATACTATTATAAAATTTCTCCCTTTTATCTTGATTTGGTGGTAGGTGTAGAATAACTGCATCAATATCAAAAGACTACCAGTTAGTAAGGTTTTTATCCAATGTTAGAAATTCTCTGCTACCTATACTACAGAGGAAATAAAGTAGCTGAAAGATCACTTGAATGGGAAAAAACAAAAGAGAATAGGACCTTTTAGTCCTGGTAATTAACTTTTCAGGCAAGTTTGACCCTCATTTATTTGAGCATTCAGACTTGGGCCTTCCAAAACTCTGTCCCCAAAGTTAGGCTTTTTAATAATTACAGGTTGCCAGTACTAATAACGTATTGTTGGAGCTGTGAACTGGTCCAACCATTTGGGAAAGTAATTTGGAATTATGCAAAGAAGGTAACTAAAATTTCCATACCCCTTGACCAAAGATTACATTACTAGGCATATACCCTCAAGGAGGTCAATGACAAAAAGAAGGCCCTATAAACAGCAAAATATTATAGCAGCACTCTTTTTTGGTAGCAAAGGATAAGAAACAAAGTATGTATCTATAGGGAAATGGCATAAACTGTGGTACATGAGATAATGAAACTATTACCTTAAGAAATGATGAACGTGACAAAACCATGGAAAGACAAAGCGCTGATGTAAAGTGAAGTATGCAAAACCAGGAAGACAATATACACAATGACTACAACAATGTAAATGGAAAAAAGTATGAGACAAACTAAATGCTATAAATTTTAATGACCAATCTTGGCCCCAAAGAAGAAGAAATAAGTCACTTCTCTTCCTCCTTTTTGCAGGGGTAGAAAACCATATCCATGGAACACCGCATATAACACACTTTGTTGATATGTTGGTTTTGCTGAATTTTTTTCTTCCTCTTTTTTTCTTTTAAATAGCTGAGGGGATCGAGGAGGTATACAGTAAGAAAGTTTAGGTAATATAAACCAAAGATCAATAAACATTTATTTTAAAAGAATTACAAGCCAACAGTCAATTATTCATTTGGGATATTGCTAGACTGTGCAATTAGAAACTATAAATTTCACCTACCCACTGTGCCTGTGATTCAGGCTTCCATAAAAAGCTTTCATACCAGGGGAAACAAGTTAGGTTGTCAGGAGTGTGTCAGAGTCAGCTCTTGCCAAATGACTGTTAAATTTTCAGTGTGAGCATTTACATTTTAGAAATCAGTAAATGCTACAAATTTGGGCTAGATTTATTGTTTTGTGGATTTGCTAGACTTAAGAAAGTGAAGAAGAAAATGTTAATAATGTAGATCATAGAAATGGGAAAAGGACACACGTACAAAAATATAGCAACTCTTTTTGTGGTGGCAAAGAATTGGAAATTGAAAGGATGCCCATCAATTGGAGAATGGCTGAACAAGTTGTGGTATATGAATGTAATGCAATACTATTGTGCTATAAGAAATGATGAACAGGCTGACTTCAGAAAAACCTGGAAAGACTTGTATGGTCTGATGCTGAGGGAAATAAGCAGAACCGAGAGAACGTTGTACACAATAACAGCCACGTTGTGCAATGACTAATATTGATAAACCTAACCCTTCCCAGCAATACAAGGATCTAAGACATCTCCAAAGGCCTCATGATGGAAAATGCTATCCACATCCAAAGAAAGAACTATGCAATTTGAATGCAGATCGAAGCATACTGTTTGCTATTTTTTTTCTTCTGTTGAGTTTTGTTCCCTCTTTCTGGTGGTTCCTCCTATT